CTTAAGAGATAACATGATCTGCTATAAAATTTAATGAACTTCACAGGATACCGAACTTCAAATTCCTTAAATTCCTTTTTAGATGCCAATATAAATATATGTTACATAATTTGCCTTAAAAGCAATATTTCCATTTACATAAGAAATTCCTTAAATAAATCTGATAAAAATAAGAAGCAGCTAGATATATTAAATATTCTGGAAGTAAAGAAAGCTTGTTAAGTCTAAAGAAAAGTAATAAACAACACCGATACTTGGGCATTATTCGCAACCACCTTAGCCGAAGCCGCCAAAGTTTCAGAGTACGCCAAACTGTTAACCAAGTATACATAACGATTATTCACGAAACACTTCGCATGTAAATATTCAGTTTCCAACATCGCCATTTTTGTGTGCGTACTTTTTCCTATTGAAAGTTCCAACGGCTTTAAAAAAATAATAATAATAATAATAATAATAATAAAATAAATTAATTAAATCATAATTTTTTTTCGGTCTTAAACACGATTTTAAAATTCGGGTTTGCGGAATTTTCCTTTCCTACTATAGAAAAAACACAGGTGAAATTTCTGCGAGAATACAGTATTTTGGCAGCAAAATCGCTAAAGGAATACTATTTGAATCTTTTCTAAAAGAGATCGCTACGAAATGTCCATTAAAACAAAAACCCATTTGTAAGTTTGTAACTAGCTTGCTAACTGTTTTGGGGATAAATATGTAGTTGAAACTTAAAAATATGTATGTGAGTAACATAAATTGTTCTTTTTCATCCGTAAAATTCGCATAATTGGGTTATGGTGGCTTCGATAATATGCAAGTACCACAAAGCCTATTTATGCGGGGGGAAATCTTTCCGAATAATTTTATGTTAACCGTTCAGTAAGAGATTTCATTAATCAGATAGTACTGTACAGAAGTACTCAAAGTTTTACATTATTTATGAATCACACAATGAACCTAAGAGTCGCAATGCATAGCGACTGTTATAAGCCCAGCAATTTGCTTTTTCGGGATATTAGCGTGCAGCTCTTCATGACTATCTAACAGAATATTATTCGGGTACATATGATTACAACCAAACAACTTAAGCCTACTGCATAAACAGAACAATGACTTCGAGGAAAATTTCTGAGGAAAACTGGCTCTTATTAACGCTACACATAGTAAAACCATGAAAATGCCCAAGTAGTCAAGTCCGTTCGCCGATATTTGAGTCTGAGTCGAGCTACCAGAGCTCAGCAGTCTTACCTGCTCAGCTGCTGGTGGGGTACTGGCGAGCTGTTAGCGTAGTTAATATTGCTGACTGAAGAGCAAATAACGGGTAGTTCAAAATATTGAATATGTAGCAAATCTGATTAAGATTTTTACACGAGTAAAGAAAACGCCCGTTATATATAAAAAATTTAACATCCCCATTGACTTATGAACTATTTTAGATTTATAACAGATTCCTTAATAAAATGGCCAAGATCTCTAGATTATTCTTATAATTAGAAGAAATGATTCCTTTAAAGCAATTTAGCTCTTTCAGGGTATCAGAATGATTCTGGTCTTACGCCAAGGTTTTCATCTTAGACATAAATCAATGTTTTTTCATGTTCTCAGAAATAATCGTAACTTTAAGAGGTGGTCGTCTTAGGAAGGTACGATTTTAAATTTTTATAGATTCTCAAATTTCTGTGGCTATGTAATGGTTGAAGCTGTAGTGAGAAATATAAATTACACCGAATTAAGTTTTATTTAACTTTATTAAATACTCTACATCTTAAGAGAAAAAGTACAAATGTCCAATATGTAAGATTTCGGTGAAGGCTGTTTTATGATCAAGAAGTTTTTTAATCTTATATGTAGAATTCAGATATTCTCCCAAGATTTAATTATTTACTGTATACTAGAAAACCTTTATACTAGAAATGCTTTTGTACTAGATAGGCCTTTTTTTAGAAAGATACTTTATACTAGAAAAGCATGTACTTGTCTTTTATTTTGATGTTCACATCGGTAATATTATTAAAACAGACTTTCCTATTTTAACATACGTATCATATTGGTCTCTTGAAAATGGGTCTGAGAAAGGACACAAACGCTTTTCCTGCGATGACAATTATGATTTCTGTGCGACTGATGAAAAATTCTGAATTTTGACCATTATTCAGATACATAAACAAGGGAATGTACAGTAAAATTATGTAGCTAATATAATAGTAATTTTATAATTTGGCTTGATGGTGATTATTTTTAAAACTTATGTACATAAACTGGATATTTGGCGAAAACATTAGACTATCAAAAAAGAACTTTAGTTTTTGATTAGACTTTAATTTATTTTATTCTTTATGTTTGTCTAACAAACAATTTCAGTTTAAATTGCATTCAGTATTTATTTTCAAGGACATATAAACTGCACGTAAAAATTATTTTAAGTTTTTTTATGGGGGAGAATAATATATAAGCTTTGCTTTAGAACTTTTACTGGAAAATACTATTAGATTAATTTAGGTGACTCTAAAAGAAATGGCCAAATATCTTCCTTAAATTTTATAACTTATATTAATAAAATTTGATATTACTCATAAACAAAGTTCACAATTCACAAAGAAACTATGTTACCATCAGAAGTTTACACGGAAATACGTAGATCAACTTTTAGAGAGTTCCTGTATGACATCTTAAATGGCATTGAAACATAATGTCAAAATTAGGTAAAGTGATTAATATACCACAGTGGAGTGATTAAAGTAGCATAAATTTTTCAAAAAGTCAGTAAAAGTACACTTAAAAATAATATATAACCCTCATGAAACTCAATTACCTTATTAGGCTAATCTTTGGAATATGGTAACAGGTAGTTTGGCGACATTTTGGTAAGGCGGTAAAGGTTACTAGCTAGGACTTTAGCAGTGTACATGGATAAAGTCAAGAGTGTGCGCAATGCCATTTTTGTGCAATTCTTAGATGTTTTTTTAAGTGAAAATAGGTCGACGTGCACATGGATACCGTGTATGAGCAATTCTTAAAAACGCGGCAAGCAGTTTGCGATTTTGCACTTTCTCCCAATTTCGCACCTAATCTTCGTCATGATTAAGCACTTTTGTTCCATAAAAGTTCTAGCATAAGAGTAATTCGGCTAGCAGATTGTTAGAAAAAAATATTGAGTAAAAAAAAAAAAACATGCCTTTACTTCGTGAAGACAAAATGGCGTCCAAACAAAAACTAGCAGGTTGCTGTAGCAGGATTGGTCGCCAAATTTTCGCCAAAGAATCGCCAAGTTACTATAATCCAAAGATTAACCAATAATTACACCACACCATTAAAACTTTCTAGATTTCAATTCAGAGTCATGAAATAAGCTTCTAAACCATATACAATCAAGTCTGGCTAAATCAAAATTATAAAGAATAAAATCATGGATATCTCTTTTGATAAAATACCATAATATGAACTTAGAGCATATTGACAGTTGCTTACTGTTGGAAGGAGTTCACTACACAAATTAGCAAATGCTCATTTTTATAACATATATATACCCGAAACTTTGACATGTATTGATGGTAATATATCACACAAAATATTATTCAGATATTGGTCAATATTTCGTGAATATGAACATACTGAAATGATAAAATCGATAATTATGCTGCTGGTAATCAATTGGATAAAAATTATGTTTATTGCAGTTGAGCCTAAATGTTTGTAGAAAGTTGATTTGAAAGTTGACACCAAAAACTTGTGCGTAGCAAATATCGTTGAGTCTATAACATAATACTTTATGGGATTTTTTTTTAACTGTAATGATCAGTTATCCACATAAATTTTCAATAAGGCGTAAAAGTAAACTTAGATTCGTATGGATTTTTGAATAAAACTTGCGAAACTTTAATTCTGCAGAATTACTTTAAGTTCTGAAGAAGGGGAACATATGTCAGATCGCCCTCGTAATCAGCACAGTTTAATTCGAAATCTACTCCAATCTAAGGTTGTTTATTTGTTAAATTTAAATGAACAGCTGACTACGTTAGACAACTAATTTTAAATTAACTATATATTACGTAACTATCTATAACTGTGCTATTTTTACTGAAAATAACGTAGTTACCTAGATGCACTTTACATTCCATCCGTTGAAGATTAAGGCGGCAAGCGACTTCAGAGTAAATGAAAGAAATATTAAAGTCATATCTTTAAAACAAAAATCAAAATGAGCATTAATATACAAGATTAACCGAAGCTATGTTTACCACTAATTACCGTGGATTTAAAATTATTTAGGAAATTATAATTAATAAGAATATTAAAGATACACTTTAAAAGCCCAGACATAAGTATCTAGAAATTTATCTAGATACTTATATCTATTTGGTAAGTTGTATGTCTATTTGGTATACTGAACTGATCCTTTCAGCCAGTCTTTGATAATTAAATAGATATTTCAGGTAATTCCTCTCCGATTCTGATCTATTAAGTAAAAATTGTAATGATGGCTTTTTTCAAAATTTTGTGTATTGGTTACAAAAAATTCAACAGTGCAGGAGAATTCGAAAAACCTGGAATAATTAAAACCACAACAAAAGGGATTTGCTTTAATTTACAGCTAGAATTCATATTTATTATAGAATTATTTATTAATTAAGTACAATTTATTTCTGTTCAAGTAAAATTAACCTAAGAAACTTCTTAAATAAGACAAAATAATAAAAATTTAAAAGCAGTAAGTATACTTAGAATAGGCGGTTATGACTTAACAGTTAATCACGTGGTAAAAAAGAAATATAGAAATACATATGACATGTAATAGCTTTTCCATTTATGTTGACAAGCTTCATGCTTGTCGAACTTAAACCAGCCGTATTTATATCTGAACAAACTTATTAGATTTTTAAAGATTATTGCAATAACCTTTTATATTATTCAAGACAATGAAAAAACTAAAACACGTAAAGAAATTTTAAAATAAAAAGCCTTGAAACATAAAGAAATGAATCTGGATAAATAGAGTCATACTACACTTTTAGTTGCGAAAGAATAGACGTGCAGAAATGATAGAGAGAGATTCGTACCTGCTTCAGTACAACGGCGTATATCCTTCCATAGCAGAAGGCCATCAGAAGTGCAGGGTAGACTATGGTAGCGAAGAAAATGAGGACTAGGAAGTCATAATGCATGACTGGAATGAAGAGACATCGACCATCCTTCTCGGGGCCATTATTCCATCCGAAGATCGGCAGTAACCCAACTAACGACCCCAGGATCCAGCAGCCGAGAATAACGATACCTGCCGCTCGTCGATTCATAGTTCTTTTGTAACAGAAGGGATGAAGTATAGCCCAGTAACGATCCAGTGTCACTGCTACAAGGTTCAGTATGGACACAGTACACAGTAGGACGAGAACAGATAGCATAAGCAAGCAGATTTGGAAGGCATTCCTGGGAAGCCCAAGACGGGCCATGACTGCTGATGGAACGCCGATAAGTCCGACCAAAAAGTCTGATGTCGCCAAACTGATGATGTACAAATTGGTGACTCGTCGTAGACGTCTTTCTAAAGCGAAAGTTGCGACCACCAGCAAATTTCCGGCGATCGCTAGAATAGCTACTGCTACTTCACATATAGCATAAGTCAATGGGAGCTCATCTTGGCCCATTCCGATAGAAGATTTTTATTGGGTTTATTTTAAGCGCGGATTTTGTTGTTTACACCGCGAGCGCAGATGTGAGCGTTATTAAAACGTACTTTTAATGCCTCAATGCGACGTTCGCCGCGGCTGTTAAGTTTGTATCCAATCCAGCGGGTGATTCCACGATACTTTTCTTTCATCGCATGACCGCTTGCCGCGACCGTTTAAAGCATCGCCCTCTGGTGGAGAGACTGAGAAATATCAAGCAAAACAAATTGATTCCAGTATCACGCGATCTGCAATTCTTGACCGAGAGCGCGTGGATAAATTTCTTTTTTCTACTCATTTTTTCAACAGATCTATTTTATTTTTATATGTTTTATATTTTATCAGGATTGACTTCCACAAGCAAATTTAAATTATAAATTGTGTTCAGAATTCATAATATTCTTTCAAAGAACAGATATTTCATTACGCAAGACAAGATATCATTACGCAAAATTTCGCTTTCTTTCATAACCGGTTCTGCTTTCAGATCTATTTCTCTATTTTTTTTTTTTTTTTTTTTTTTATTTAGTATAGCAGACATTAAATGGAATGAACTGAAAATGTTTCTAAAACAAGTTCGCAGAAAAATGTCTTCAGCTCAGTTGCTCTGTTTTAATGATGCACTGAAAAAAATGAACGTAAAAAATGAAATCAGATATAATGCATAGAAAACTGTCTTCCGTTCAAATTATTCAAATTAACCTGATTCTCGAAGTTCGTGATGGCGCATGGGAATAACTTTTTGATTTAAGAAAATTATATTGTGCTAGAAATTTTATTACTATTTTTACTTTTGCAAAGGAATTTTGTTGTCATACATTATACACGAGTTTTATTTTTAGCAGAATGGCCTGCGTATTTCTGTAGGAAGGGATATTGTCCTGGGGTGATAAAGATTGCTATCTAAAGTTTACTATCCAAGACTTTCGTTTTTCAATGTCTTTTCCGAATACCATGTTGGAGCTTGAAAATAAATAGCTGTTACTCTTTTGAATTTAAATTTTTTCTTTCTGTTTTCATTAGTACGCAAATACTTTTCATACATTAGGTAAAAACTGTTAAAAAATTCCACATTCTCAAAATCATCATTTTCATTCTTTTACTAATTATCTTTCTATTTTTCTATTTATGTTTATTTCCATAACTATCACTATCGAAAAAGCGGTAGAGCACTAGTGCTTTTGTAGCATTTATTAATTAAATTAACCAATTATTTATAATTTCAGCCTTTACTATAACATTATCTCCTTTTCGTTTTCTCGCCAAAAATGTAAATGTGTTAGGCTGAGTATTTAAGGTGAGGTTTTGGAATTGAAAGACAGAGCGTGTTTCTGCCCCTCGTGGCCACGTTGCGTAGTTCTGACAGCTATGGTAAATTCGTAATTCTTCGGCTTTGCGTTATTGCTGCCGGCGTTTAAAATGCCACGCCCGTTAGTGTTTTCTGAATTAGCATCCCACATAGCACAAGAACATCCTTGATATCCTGAAGGATGTTTCTTGAGGGATATGCGTACATCCTCAGGACATCCCGGAATATCCCCCGAATCTTCTAAACACATCCTCCCGAGTGCTTTATGTCACATCCCAGTATCCTCAGGACATCCTAACAAAATCCCATCGACAGCGTACGGAATGTTATTAGTATCTGAACTCCTACTCATTACATCCTCGAGACATCCCGGGATATCCCACTAACCTCCTAAATACATCCCATTATATCTTAAGAGCATCCTATCTATGCCCCATCGACAGCGTATGGGATGTTATTAGAATTTAAAGTTCTTCTTACTACATCCTCAGGATATCCCGTGATATCCCAGTTTCCTCCTAAACTCATCCTCCCGAGTTATCCTCCCGATGCTTAGCATAGTATAATTAACCACAAAAAGTGCTTGGCATAGTATAATTAACCACAAAAATTAGTAACACTTTATTTTCCGTATCAACATTCCGCATTTTAATACTAAAGTCCTTAATATTTCATTCCTATGTCACTTTCATTTTAGTTCTTAAACTTAAGGGAAGTAGGATCAAATTAACCTTCAAAAATCGTTTTTTACAGCTTTGATTTAGAAAAAAAATAAAGTGAACACTGCTGATTCCAAAAATATTTAACATGTTTTCAAGTTTGTAGTACCAAACGCCAGTAAATGTAGATACAAGATGTAAACCGAGACTAACACGCCTCTTTCCCGAAAAGACAATTTTCAAAAAGTGTTTTTTAAATAGTTTTTAACAGAAATTTATCAGTATTTTTTAGTATTTATCAGTAATGTCCCATCCTAGTATATCCTTAGGACATCCTATCTAGGCCCCACCGACAGCGTATGGGATGTTATCAGGATTTGAAATACTAGTTACGATATCCCTTTAACCTCTTAAATACATAATCTCAACTGCTTAATGTTACATCCCAGTACCCAGTATATCCTCAGGAATCTTCCTCATATTCCAGTTTAAGTGTGTGAAGGTGTTGTAATAACCTAAAACATACTTATTTTCCACAGATAGTCTCAGATCTTCCATCTATTAGATTCAAATATAAATGTGTAATCTCTGACTACTAGTCTACTTTATAAATTTGAATTGAATTGTTATTTTAGTTACATCACCACAAGTGGTGTTCATGCTGTAACACAAGAAGTTCGTTTATGTTCAAAATTTGTGTTTAAATAAAAATGTTATTTTAAAACCTTTCTAAGAATTTGTAGTTAATTTCAAACACAGTGCTAATTCGCTTTACGTCAGTTAGGAGTTTGAATCTACTTTATACTACCAAAGCAAGTTAAACTTTATACCTTTCTTCTGGGTTTGATCCGTATTAACTGAATAGGTTGCCTCGTGAGGTTTTCTCAGTTTCCCACATTTGTAATATAAATACCACCAAGTTACCATTATAAAGCTCTACTCGGAAAATGACTTTCAGGCATATATCTCGAGGACTTTAATCAACTAATGAAGTGTCATCAATTCTTCCAGCTACCTCGCTTTTATTTTTCCATCACCTTCCCCTTTCATAATTCTTAAGGGTGTTATAAAATTTGAAATTTTCAACCATGAAGATTTTTTAAAGGAAATCTTTCAATTTTTGCTTACATTTATCACAGAATATCTAAAATGTAAAACGTTTTACGTATCCATTAATTTTGGCATAGTATAATTAACCACGAAAATTTGTAACACTTTATTTTCCGTATCAACATTCCGCATTTTAATACTAAAATCCTTAAATTAATATTCCATTCCTATGTCACTTTCATTTTAGTTCTTAAACTTGAGGGAAGTAGGATTAACCTTCAAAAAATCGTTTTTTACAGCTTTGATTTAAAAAAAAAAATAAAGTGAACATTGCTGATTCCAAAAATATTTAACATGTTCGAGTTTGTAGTACCATACGCTAGTAAATGTAGATACAAGATGCAAACGGAGACTTACACGCCTCTTTCCCGAAGAGACAATTTTCAAAAAAAAATGTTTTTTAAATAGTTTTTAACAAAGATTTATCAGTATTTTTTACAAACATTACACTCTATTTATGTCAACTTTATTGTACATTAGCATTTCTTATCAGAAATATGTCTATTACCAATAAAATAACTTTTCAGAGATCTGAACTCGAAGGAGCAAGTACTTGAGCATATCCACGGACTGACCGAAGTGTCTAGAAATAAAATTGGTGAAAATCATTGAAAACTGAAAAGGTAATGTAGTTGTATGTTTTAAAGAAGTTACATTTCTTGAACTGAAAAGCTCAGATTTCAAAGATTAATATAGATGTACAACAATGCACATAAGGATTTTCGGAAAACTGAAAAATTCATTTCTGCTGTTACTTACGCTCACTTGTCTAACAGTAATATCAGACCAAGACCACAAAATTCTTCGTAGCAAAGAGCGCAAGATTATGCCTGTCGTTGGCAACAACCTTGAGCACGTTACAGGTGACAGTGCGATTTCGCTCAGTTTCGCCCCATCATTTTGATGGAGAGTACTCCAGCGGGGATGGGGCTGAGGGTCTCCCACGCCTCTCCCCTTCCACTAAAACACGCGAGAGGACTTTCGGAGTGCCGCCATGAGGCCCTGACGCTATACATTTACAAGCATCCAAGACTTCTCCGTGATTCGAACTCGGGCAATACCTGTTGAGAGGCGAAAAATAAATAAATAAATAAATAATAATAATAATAATAAATAAATAAATAAATAAATGAAATTTAAAAAAACCCCTCAGTTTAAAAAATTTAATCCTTTCTTCATAGTGTAAGCAACGAATTATAAAATCATTAAGGAAGCAAGAATCTTATAAAAACATAATAGAAGAAAACACGAAGCTGCAAAGTAATCATCACAACATGATTATGGTGAAAGGAAATTAAACAAAATTTTCAAATATAGTTGATAGAGAAATTTTTTTAGTCTAAATGGGCGGTAGCTCAGAGAGGTTATTAGTCCCAAAACGGCATTTTGAGGCGTTTCGCTATAAATAGCGAATTACTTTTAAAATTGTTGCCACCAAATATTATCGCCGTGTATTATATTTAAAGAAACTAAACAATAAACAATCTGCAGGAAATTTTGTCGTATTGTGAAGAAACAACGGTACCTAGAGCCATCAAATTCTGAATAACGTAGTCCTCCAACCGAACATGGACTCTTGGAAGCCCGAATTTTGAATTTCGAATTTGTTTTATTATCTATTTCAAATTTGGTAAAGCTTGAATGAATTTTTTATTAACAAACTCAATGTTTTCAAAGCGAGCAATAGTAACACTGTACGGGGGGGGGGAACTTTTTATTTCCAGCGCGCGAGACTGTGTATCGGAAATTCTAAAGACATACGGGTTAAGAAGGTAAAGAATAAGCGAATTCGCACACCAAATCTACGAGGCTACGAGGATTGAAAATTCCGCTCATATTAATATACAGTAATTAAAGTCGTAAGCAAAATATATAATTTATTTTACCTATGAGAGTTACTTACAAAAAGAAAGGAACACTACATACCCAGGGAGATATATCGATGAGCTAGTTTCCTTAGGTGATGTTTTCAGACTCGCATTATTTTCTAAATCAATCAATACATTGCATATCATGGTCTCT